ATCGGGACGGGCGTTGGAGTGGTATTGGATCCATGTCCAGCAGCATAGACTGGACCATTGGAGCCAGTTGCGTCGAGCGCTGCTTGACAGGTTCCAGAGCCATGAGACGGAGCACCAAAGGATGCACCTCCTTTTGCAACGGGAGCAGCAGCCAGGAGAGGGCGTAGACGATTACCTGCACGCCATGCAGACCCTTGCTTCTCGCCTGAAAAAGCCAATGCCAGAGCGGCACTTGGTGAAAGTGATGAAGAAGGGTTTGCGAGAGGGAATCGCGCGTTTTATCTACGCGATGGAGCTGCTCACCGTGGATGAGTTGCGGCAGGAGGCCGTCGAGGTGGAGCGCAGTTTTGGACGCAGGAGCCGCACACCATTTCCTCCACTGACGCGCTATCCGGCAGGAGAGCGAAACAGGGTCAGCGAGGTGGCTGGACCGGAACCAGATGAGGAGGAGCACCCGCCTGAGGTCGAGGAAGTCCGGGAGAGGCCACGGAATCCATTCCGAGCGGGATGTTGGAACTGCGGAGCGTTGGACCACGGCTTCCGGGATTGTGAGCAGGAGCTGCGGAAAGTGTTCTGCTTCCGCTGTGGAAAGGCCGACACGGTGGCCCCAAAATGCCCGAATTGTGCGGGAAACGGTCGGCTGGGCGATGCGAGAGCGGGAGGAACTCGCCCAGGACGGAAACCCGCGATGTAGGGGAGCCTGCAAGGAAGGAGATAAATATTAATCATCATAATAAAAATATATTAAGGGACTTACCATATGAGGAGCGCATGCGAAGGTATATAGAAACTAGGAATAGAATTTTTAAACAGCACCAGCTGTGCGGAATGCGCCAGGTATCCCGAACGGTACGGAAGGCCAGAGATCGGTTTCGGAAGCGTAGGGACAAGCGAAGGGAAGTCGTCGCAGCGGTACAGCGGGGCGGCATCCACGATTCCAGGCCCTTCGCCGCGATAAACATTTTAGGCCAGCAGCTGACGGGTCTGTTAGACACCGGAGCGAGTGTCAGTCTGCTCGGCAAAGGCGGTAGGGAACTGGTGGAGGCGTTGGGTGTGCCTGTACAAAGATATTTCTCGGTGGTGCGTACGGCCGCAGGCGAGGATCGTTCGATCATCGGGCGATTAAAGCTACCTGTGGAATACAAAGGGAGGGTAGAGAATATTCTTTTCTATCTTTGCCCTTACCTTGAGCAGCCGGCATATCTCGGAGTCGACTTTTGGCGAGCGTTTGGCTTGGCTCCGGCCGTAGTGGGAGAAGTACCGCCAAACAGCGTGATGAAGGCCGAAGAAATCCACGCCAGGGAAATGGAACACTACGCCGACCAAGAAGACGACGACGAAGAGAAGGTAGATCCCGAATCCTGGTCTCTATCCGAGGCGGAGTCCCGGAAGCTGGAGGAAATCAAGCTGATGTTTCTCACCTTTGAAAAGGATGGCTTAGGAACCACGAGCCTGGAGAAGCATTCCATAGAGCTGGTAGAAGGCGCAAAGATTTTTAAGGATCGGCCCTATCCGATGTCTCCGGCGAAGCAGAAGGTGGTCGAGGACGAAGTCGACAAGATGCTGGCGCTGGGAGTCATCGAGGAGAGCAAGAGCCCGTGGAGTAACCGGACGACGGTGGTTTCAAAGCCTGGAAAGGACAGGTTCTGCTTGGATGCCAGGAAGCTGAACGAAGTGACCGTCAAGGATGCTTACCCCTTGCCTAGTATCGATGGAATCCTGTCCAGGATCGATCAGACGCACTACATTTCCAGCGTGGATTTAAAATTCGCATTTTGGCAGATCGAACTGGACGAGAAGAGCAAGGAGTTGACAGCGTTTACGGTTCCTGGTCGGCCCCTGTACCAGTTCCGAGTGATGCCGTTCGGGCTCTGCAATGCGGCGCAGCGGCTGGTGAGACTCATGGACAGAGTAATCCCAGCCGAAATCCGGTCCAACGTGTTCGTCTACTTAGACGATCTGCTCATCCTGGCACCGGACATCGAGACGCACTTCCGATACCTACGACGAGTCGCCGAATGCCTGAGGGAAGCAGGATTGACGATTGGGCTTAGCAAGTCTAAATTCTGTTTCAAGTCGTTGACTTACCTAGGCTTCATCGTAGGTGGAGGTCGTCTGCGGATGGATCCAGGAAGGGTGGCCGCGATCCGTAGGATGCCAGAGCCGAGGACGATGAAGGAGGTGCGAGCATTTTTGGGCACGGCTGGATGGTATCGGCGCTTCGTCAGGAACTTCGCAACGCTGGCAGCACCGCTCACCGAGGCGCTCAAGAAAACCGGGAACACTAAGTTTTCGCTGAGTCCGGAGGCGCAGCTGGCGGTCGAAGCCCTGAAGATGGCTCTAACGACAGCGCCGGTACTAGTCCACGCCGACTTCAAGCGGCACTTTTTCATCCAGTGCGACGCTTCTCACATCGGGGTTGGAGCGGTTCTGTTCCAGAAGGATGTGGACAACCAGGAGCAGCCGATAGCCTTCTTCTCGGCGAAGATGAACAAGCACCAGGTGAATTACACCGTCACCGAGAAAGAGTGCCTGGCAGCGCTCCTGGCGATCCGAAAGTTTCGGCCGTACGTGGAGGGGATGCCATTCACCTGCATCACGGATCATGCCAGCTTAAAGTGGTTGATGTCCATGAAGGATCTCTCAGGACGCCTGGCCAGGTGGTCTCTGCAGCTCCAGGGATTCAACTTCAACATCGAGCACCGGAAGGGCAGCGAGAACGTGGTGGCAGACACGCTTTTGCGATGCGTGGAGGAGATCGCCGTCGATCCGACAGAGTTGCTGGGTTTCGAGACCACCGAGTTTGCTGGGGATGAGTACCAGGAGTTAGTCCGTGAAGTGGAGGAGAATGCGGATAGCTTACCGGATCTTAGGATCGAGGACGGTCTCATCTTCAAGCGAGTCTCCCCGGAAACGCTGGATGACGAAGTTGAAGGATCCGCATGGAAACTCTGGATACCGCAGAGTCTGACCCACAGCCTGGTTGAGCGAGCCCATACGGATCCCAAGGCAGCTCACGGCGGAATGGGGAAGACTCTGGAGATCCTGCGGAGGCAGTTCTACTGGCCTGGAATGGTGATGCAGATCCGCGAGTTCGTCCGAAGATGTGAGATTTGCAAGGAGTCGAAGGCCCCGAACCACCGGATGATGGTGGGGATCGGAGAGCGGGTACAGACGGAGCGGCCTTTCCAGAAGCTGTACGTCGACTTCCTTGGCAAATATCCGAGGTCGAAGAAGGGACACGCCTGGATTTTCATCGTAGTGGACCACTTCTCCAAATATACGTTCCTCAAGGCGATGAGAGACGCAACCGCTTCGAACGTAGTAGATTTCCTCATTACGGAGGTCTTCTACAAGTTTGGAGTGCCGGAGGTGGTGCACTCTGACAACGGTCGGCAGTTCACCTCGAAGATTTTCGAGGAGGCGATGGAGAGCTTCGGGATCCGGCATCTGAAGACCCCGATTTACTCCCCACAGAGCAACGCAGCGGAACGGGTCAACCGGAGTGTCCTGGCAGCGATTCGAGGGTTCCTGGAGAGTGACCATCGGGAGTGGGATGCGTACCTTCCGGAGATTGAGGTGGCCATCAGGAATGCCGTCCATTCAGCAACAGGCCAGGCGCCGTTCTTTACCGTGTTCGGGCATCATATGTTCGTGCATGGGTCCAGCTACCGACTGGCAAGGAAGCTGCAGTCGATGTGTGACCATGAAATGGCCGGAATGTCAACGGCTGACAAACTCCGGGTGGTACAGGAGAAGGTGCGCAGGAGTCTGGAGACTGCATATGACCACAGTCGCCAGCGATACGACCAGAGGGCCAGAGTCTTCACCGCAAAGCCGGGGCAAGAAGTCTATCGCCGGAACTTTGTCCTCAGCGACTTTGGGAAGCAATTTAATGCGAAGTTCGCAAAAAAGTTCCTAAAGGCCAGAGTGGTGAAGGCCGTAGGCAATAATGCGTACGAGCTGGAGGATCTGCAGGGCCGAAGGTTGGGCATCTATCACGCCAAGGACATCCGCATCTAACCTGGAAAGGAACAAAGAACACAAAGTATACAAGGACGGAGAGGAGCCTACAGACAGCTGATACTTCCCGTAAGGCGTGGGCCCCGCGTTGGGCACCTGACGGAACTGCACGGGAACAATATCCAAATGCTCCCAATGATCCTGTCGAGCCGCCGTGATCCAGTAGCATCTCTCCAAATCCTTGGGTGGTGTTGCATTTTCAATCGGAATGGGCTGGAGGACTATCGATAGATCGATAGAGGTAGGATCTTTAGGACCAGGGGGGGCAGGGATTCAAAAGAGCGAACCGGGAATAGGAAACGGGATTAGGTTAAGGGAATTAAGAGAAAGGGTTTTTACCCTTGGCCTCGGCCGTTGCACCGAAAAAAGAACGGTTCCTGGGTGCGAACTCGGGTGACAGGCGAAGCCTATATAGGGAGGGATAGGCAACATGGAAGCCGGCAGTAGCAACGGAAAGTCGAAGTTAAAGCAGCTAATCTCCTGGGCGGCTAGGAATTACCTGAAGAACGTGGGTGAAAGTGCAAAGATTTAAAAAAAAAACGTTTTATTTAATAAACGTGTATTTTCAGCGTGGCAGTGAACCAATCGCTGGCCACGGCGATTTTTTATTCAAAATTTGTGAAATTATACGGAGAATCTTACCCGCCGCCGACGTTCTGGGGAGGATATATTCTGGAGAGGAGTGAGGGAGATTTTCAAACGAGCCTCTAAGCAGCCGTTGACGGAGCCATCTAGCTAGCCAATCGGGAGTCCGGTGAGTCCGTTCCGTGAAGCGCCGTCTAGAACCGGCAGGTTTTTGTACCCATATTTGGGACAGTTGTTTGGCTCTGCCCCTTCTCAAAAAAACGACGTGGCCGTGGCTCCGAAGGGCCTTCTTTCCTCGGGCTTGCGTCGCCATCAGTCGTCACGATTTCTGGCCACTCCCGCCACCGAAGCATTTACGGGTCGCCGATAGTGCCTTCTCGTTGCTGCAATAGAATAAAATAATTAGTGTGCTGTTGTTTTTGTTAGGTTAATTTATTTGTCTTACTATAATTGGTTCCGTGTGCTTGTTTCTCCGCGTCTCTTAACTTGGGTCAGGGATTTGTGCAACACGAGTTCTGCAGAATTGAGGAACGGCTTTGAAGAAGTGGATATTCACTGAAGATATACTTACCCATCCCCTTTATTTCTCTTGGAGCTCCAGCAGGGATAATAGGTAGAAAGGAAAAGGGAATCTAGCGTACTTCTCCAGCCAGTTGTGGCTTTTTCCTTAAGCGGACCGCCGCTTCTTCTCCGCTGCCGCAGTCTTGGCGCGAGCGCATCCCGGGCTAGGGTGACGTTTCGCCGGGAATGAGTCCATTAGGAACTCTATATTACTCTGCCAATGTTAGCCTTAAGTATCTGAAATTTCTAAAGTATTAAACGCCATGAACTTTGAGTAAAAAGTAATTACCTGGGGAGATGGGCCGGCCGTCAAGCCGCCTGGATTAGACTCCGGTCCGCCGGAGATGGGTGGTGCCCCTAGACACACCGGAGGCACCACAGGTTGGGCGGGAGCGTCGTGGCGACTCCATCTATGCCACCATTCCGCAAAAGTCGTCTATTTTGGTTTGTTTACTTTTGTTTGTTAGAGCTGTGTTATCTGTTAGTGAGGAGTTTGTGTGAGACGTCCGATTAATCGGTGTTTCGTTGTGCGGACTGCGGGCATAGGTTCCTACCCCCCCCTGGGCATCCACTGAGCTAGTCCGGCATTGCCCAGGGAATATGCAGTTCCATAACAATCTTGTGGTGGTGTGGAATAAACATCAATAGACCACTGAGTAAACTATTTTTTTCCTTTTGTAAATAAGATCTGATTTCATATAAAAAAAACCATTTACTTTTCATTCCGGCCAGAAAAAGGTGCCCGTTTTTCAAATCGAAAAAATCTTTCGTTTTCGATTACCGGAGCACCAATTTCTCGTTTTCAAAAACGAAAACGAAAAAATCTTGCCGTTTTCGATTACCGGAGCAGGCCTGATTATGAAAATTTATATTTAGGTTTTTTTTTGGATTTAAAGTTTTATATATATGTACATATATGTACACAAAAAAAACTTGAAGTCCAAAACAAATTTTTCATAATACAATGTTTACATAGCAGTGTTTTCATATAAAAATCGGCCAGAAAACTAAAATTTTGGTATTTTTTTGTATTTTTACAGGTTGTACATATTTACAATGTACAAACAAATGAAATAAATGTATGAACATATATATGTATACATACATAAATTCGCGCGATCTTATGACGCTTTTCGGCGACATAAGATCGCGGCTGGCGAAAATATGTCGTTTTTTCTGTGGCGAACTTATGGCGCTTTGAAGCGTCATAAGTCCGCCGCAAGTAATTTTTGAACGCCATAATTTCGCGCGAACTTATGACGCTTTTTGGCGACATAAGATCGCGGCTGGCGAAATTATGTCGTTTTTTCTTTGGCGAACTTATGGCGCTTTGAAGCGTCATAAGTCCGCCGCAAGTAATTTTTGAACGCCATAATTTCGCGCGAACTTATGACGCTTTTCGGCGACATAAGATCGCCGGAAAAAAACGCCATAATTTCGCGGACCAAATGTACTGGGCGAACTTATGGCGGCGGACTTATGTCGCTATGCCATTTTTTCGATTTTGGGTCTTCTTTGTTCGCAGGGCAGTGTGCGGAATTGTGGAAGTCTCCACAGACTACGCAGACTGACCGAAGGGTGCAGTATGTCCTCGTATGTCCATACTCCTGGCAATTTGTGCATTGCACAGGACCGTTGCGTTTGTGTGGTTCTTCAACGGTGATTCTTCGATGCAACAGGAACTGCAACTTGTAGATCGGGTGAACTTCATTCTTCTTCAGAGTTTTACTTTCTGGCTCCAGTTCGACTTTGAATAGTGGTTGCGGCTTTTTGTTTTTATTTATAATGTTGCTGACGTTCTTGGCAAGGAAACCCTTGCCTTTCAGGGCTTCCACTATCTCAGAGGGGGCGACGTCTGGTTAAATTTCTTTTAAAACGACTTGCAGTCCTTTGCTGCTTTTCAGTTGGTAGGTGTAAAAATTGTTTTGAATTTGAATTTTTGTTTCACAAATGTTCCCTTTAATAAGCGGAACAATATGGAAGTTTCCGTCCCCGACCAGCGCAACAATTTTGTTGACCAGGGCGTTTGAGTTTTTCTCCCTAATATAAATGGGTGGGGGCTTTGGTTGTTTTTGGGTCTCCTGCTCCGGCTCTGCTTGGTTATTCTCATCAGCTGCTAGCGGAGAGAATTTGTTGGTGTTGTTTGGATCGTAGCTTTTGGTGACACGGTTGATCTTAGGCTTGTTACCAACCGTGTTATGTGGGCTAAGCTTACGCTTAATTTGGATGTAGCGATCCATGCCAGTCTGTATAGCCGGAACCGCTTGTTGCTTATCAGAGTTCACGGTTTTTGTTACCATTGAATTTGGCGCTGCGTCCGTTGGCACCGATTTCGCAATATTGGTCGCTGGTTTAGTTGTTGCTATTGCTTTTGCTGCGTTTGCAGAAATTGCAGCTCTGCTTGTTGTTGGTGCGTCTTCCATCGAAGCCGATGGTGGTGGGGTTTGGCATTGGGAGCTCCAAGATGTAGGAGCTGGAATGAGTAGGGCGGGGGAGCAAGAGCGCGCTCTCGTGCCGTCGGCGGTCAGTAGAGCCGGGTTGGGCTTAGTAGACGTTTTTTCTGCTTCTATATCGCGAGTTGAGAAATAGGTGAAGCAACCGTTTCTTTGGTTTATAGAGGTTCTACGCTCATTCTTTTGATCGCCGCTCATTATTTTGAGCTTATTTCGCGTGGCACCATATAAATGAACTTTGCAGCTCAAAAACACGTCTCACGCACTTTTGTCCGTATGTCATACGCACTATAGGGCTTGGCCTAGCTGACAGTACGTAGTTTAGAGTTCCGAATTTACTTTTTCACAATGAAAAAACACTTCGAGAATAAACCCCGCGTAGCGGTCGTCCGTAAGTACGTCTGCACTCGATGAAGGTCGAATGCCGAAATATTATTAAAATTAATTCTTACTTCTAATTCTTAATTTTTTTACTTAACCTATAGAATAAAAATGTTACTTGAAAACGAAAAGAATATAAACATGAATACCTAAACTTTAAATATCGAACTCTGCGGTGGTGGTCAAAGGTTGGGTGGGCATATAGCGAACACAATAACACCGGTGTCCTCGCAAAAGTTAGGGATCTCTCTCTGTCCTTTCTTCTTCTGTTCTACCTTCAGCCTTTTCCTCTTCTAGTTTTTTTTCTGTTTGAATTTATTTATACTTCTTCCGATTTGGTTCTAGTTCCTATTTTTGTTGCAAGCACGCTCAATTCTCTTCTTTATTAGTAATAATGTGTAGTTCGTGTCCGAGATCTGAGTAGGCAAGACCTCCACCCCCAAAGCCGACGAGCTAGAGCCGGAAAATACAGCGTGCCCCGCAGCTCAGCTCGAAAGCAGCCAGAATACAACGTTACAAACTACAGTTATAATTTATTATTATTAATAAGAATAGTGGCGCCCAATGTGTGTGGCCTTAGTAAAAGTTTTATTAAGACTCGCGGATAAATAAATTCATTTTCTCTTTTAAACTTCTTCTTTTGATGGCTTGAACGCATCAAGTTAGAATTTTTCTTGTTAGTTTATCTGAAGAATTATCGGATCACAGTGAGGTGAATAGTAATATTCCCAACTGTCCAGATTTCGAAGTGTGTGGCCTTTATACAAATACATTTGTTTAAGACTACCGATAAATAAACTTTTTCTTTCCTTTTTATTCCCTTGCAGGGTATTATAATTTCAGTCAGAAGTTTGCAACGCATTGAAGGAGACCTTTCCGACCCTATAAAGTATATATATTCTTGATCAGCATCAACAGCCGAGTCGATCTAGCCATGTCTGTCTGTCTGTCTGTCTGTTTCTACGCAAACTAGTCCCTCAGTTTTAAAGCTATCTGAATGAAACTTTGCATATAGTCTTCTATATGCCCTCACTGCTATATATGTCGGAACGGGCCGGATCGGACGACTATATCATATAGCTGCCATACAAATATTCGATAAATTTTTAGAAATCAAATTATAACTTTGATGTTTGACATTAATTCTTACTTCTAATTCTTAATTTTTTTACTTAACCTATAGAATAAAAATGTTACTTGAAAACGAAAAGAATATAAACATGAATACCTAAACTTTAAATATCGAACTCTGCGGTGGTGGTCAAAGGTTGGGTGGGCATATAGCGAACACAATAACACCGGTGTCCTCGCAAAAGTTAGGGATCTCTCTCTGTCCTTTCTTCTTCTGTTCTACCTTCAGCCTTTTCCTCTTCTAGTTTTTTTTCTGTTTGAATTTATTTATACTTCTTCCGATTTGGTTCTAGTTCCTATTTTTGTTGCAAGCACGCTCAATTCTCTTCTTTATTAGTAATAATGTGTAGTTCGTGTCCGAGATCTGAGTAGGCAAGACCTCCACCCCCAAAGCCGACGAGCTAGAGCCGGAAAATACAGCGTGCCCCGCAGCTCAGCTCGAAAGCAGCCAGAATACAACGTTACAAACTACAGTTATAATTTATTATTATTAATAAGAATAGTGGCGCCCAATGTGTGTGGCCTTAGTAAAAGTTTTATTAAGACTCGCGGATAAATAAATTCATTTTCTCTTTTAAACTTCTTCTTTTGATGGCTTGAACGCATCAAGTTAGAATTTTTCTTGTTAGTTTATCTGAAGAATTATCGGATCACAGTGAGGTGAATAGTAATATTCCCAACTGTCCAGATTTCGAAGTGTGTGGCCTTTATACAAATACATTTGTTTAAGACTACCGATAAATAAACTTTTTCTTTCCTTTTTATTCCCTTGCAGGGTATTATAATTTCAGTCAGAAGTTTGCAACGCATTGAAGGAGACCTTTCCGACCCTATAAAGTATATATATTCTTGATCAGCATCAACAGCCGAGTCGATCTAGCCATGTCTGTCTGTCTGTCTGTCTGTTTCTACGCAAACTAGTCCCTCAGTTTTAAAGCTATCTGAATGAAACTTTGCATATAGTCTTCTATATGCCCTCACTGCTATATATGTCGGAACGGGCCGGATCGGACGACTATATCATATAGCTGCCATACAAATATTCGATAAATTTTTAGAAATCAAATTATAACTTTGATGTTTTCCAACATTTTTGCACCATTTTTTAGATATGGTCATTTTATATTATTTCAGAATTTTGGTAAAAATTTTATGAAAATCGGACGACTATATGATATAGCTGCCATTGGAACGATCGGGAAATTATTAGGAAAAAAATTATTGCTTCGTTGTTTTTCAACGTATTTATATCTACTTTGAGATATAAGTTTTTTTATTATTCTAGAATTTTGGTATAAATTTTATAAAAATCGGACAACTATATCATATAGCTGCCATAGAAGCGATCGGTAAATGTATAAAATATGTAATGCTGGGAGTGTAAAACTGTAACTGTCAAACTGTAAACATAATAAGTATAGGTAAAATGTAATGAAACTTTGTTTTGTGAGTGTACTTAGCATTTA